TTACTGTAGGGCTCGATGCTCTACAGTACCACCACGTGTACGTCCGAGTACAGGGGGCGCACGTGTACACGTGTACGCGCGGGACCGAAGAACGCACACACACGTGTACTGTCAGCCCCGATGGCTGACAGTATTACAGTGTCGACCGACCGCTACAGTACGTCGCTACAGTACATCGGTACTGTACTATTATGATAGGTTATTATGTACATTAAATATGGAGCGGACCGGCGGCGGTGGAGGAGGACAAGCACGGACTTGTCACCCACCGACCGTCAAGGTCCGACTTCCCGCTTATTCTAAGGTAGCGCTCGCTAACTACCTTAGAGCGGCACCGAGCGCGGGTTGAGGACGCGCGCGGTACGCCCACGAGTCGGCTCCGCCTCCGCCCGTCGGTACTGGATCGTTACCCAGTACCGCGCCGGGGCGTCGAGGCGTCGAACCGCTCGCGCGTACCGGCGTCCTCCCCGTTCCCGCTCTACCACGCTACCCGGGCCCGCTGCCCGGCGCTGTTAGCTGGTGTCCTGCTTCACCCCCGTCTTCCCGATCGGACGGGGTCTCGGTCGAACTGTGCATACACCCCTATCGCTGGGGGTGTTTATGCTACAAGATCCAGTCAGAAGCTCCAAACGACGATGATGGTCTTTGGAAGGGACAACTAGGCTTGCACCGGTTTCTGCACTGGAATCCATCCGAGGTGGGACCCCATACATTAATTCGAAGGGCGACACGCCGTTCTTCATGGCACGTCGGCGATATCCATACAGGACCTGGGTGAGTGCTTTGTCCCACTCCATTCCAGTTCCAAGAACTGTCTTACGGACGGCAGCCTTCAAAGTTCCAACCATTCTCTCTGCTCTACCGTTAGACATGGGAGCGTAGGCGAGGACGGTGCGCCAAGTGATACCGTGTCGAGCCATGAAGCTAGAAACGGCCGAGGCTGTGAAGCAGGTAGCATTGTCAGAGACAATGGTTCTCGGAGGGCCGAATGAGTGCATGATTTCTCTCTTGACGAAGTCAAGAACCACTTGAGCAGTACTATCAGCAGTGGATAGGGCAATTGGCCATCCTGTGAGGTGTTCGACCGCAACCAACACGAAGCGATTTCCGGACGAGGTGGCAGGGAAGGGGCCAGCAAAGTCAATAGAGAAAACATCAAACAAGCTTGTGATGGGAAGGCGTAAAGTGGTCTTGTATTTGGGAATTAGACGCGCCTTCTGACACCCGTCACAACTCTTCACGTAGTCTCCTACGTCCATACAAACGGTCGGCCACCAGTACCTTTCCGTGACAAATTGACGAGTGGTCTTCAAGTCCCAATGACCAATGTCGTCATGGAAACCCTTCAGTATCTTTTAGCGATAGGAAATTGGGGCAACAACACGAAGACCATGAATGGTGCGGCGGAACAACTTCGACACCCACACTAGAAAGTTCTTCGCATTATTCTTCATGCGAGACTTCCTGCAATCATCCAACCCAACCGGTGTTTCGCCTTGCAGATAGGACATGATATCTTGGCAAGACTCTTCTAGATCTTCTGGAGAGTAGATCGGGGTTGCGATAGCGAGGGCAAGGTCTCCCTCTTCCTGGCAAGTGGGGTTGTCGCCGTTCTTGGGCTGAATGCGAGAAAGGTAGTCAGCTGCACTATTTGCGGATCCACAACGATATTCCGCGGTGAAGTCGTACTCGGCTAAGAAGTCTAGCCAACGAGCCAAACGACCGTGGATGTCTTTCTTGCGAAAGGCGTAACTAAGAGCCTGGTGATCCGTAACCAACTTAAAAGATGTAGACGAAAGCACGTAAACACGACATTTCTTCAAAGCAAAGATGACCGCAAGCGCCTCACGCTCACAAGCGGAGTACTTGCGCTCAGATGTATTCATAGTACGGCTTGCGTACTGGATGGGGTGTATTTTCCCATCTTCCTTCTTTTGAGCCAACACAGCCCCGACGGAGACCGATGACGCATCCGTCTCAACGACGAAGGGCTTCTCGAAGTCTGGGTAAGCCAAGACTGGCGGAGAAGTTAACTTTATGCGTAGTTCATCAAAGGCTTCTTGCATTTCTCCGGTCCATTTCAATCTGCCGTTTCCGGATGTAGCCGCATGGAGTACCGCAGCAATGTCCGCAAACTTGCAGATGAAACGACGGTAGTAGCTTGCTAACCCAAGAAAGCTCCTAAGTTCAGTCGCAGTGGTCGGGATCGGTGCATTCCGAATCACTTCGACCTTGCTCGGGTCAACGGCAATCCCGCCTTTGTCGACAACATGACCGAGCAACTTGATCTTCGCCTGGGCGAAGCTACACTTTGTCGGCTTAAGCTTAAGACCAGCCTCGTCAAGCACATCAAATACATGCTGCAGGTGGCGAAGATGTTCTTCTATAGTCTTAGAGAACACCACAACGTCATCGAGGTACACACACACAAACCGCACTCCGCGAAAGATTGTATCCATCATTCTCTGAAATGTCGAAGGCGCATTCATCAATCCAAAGGGCATGACTTCGAACTTATACGTCCCGTAGCGACAGACGAAAGTGGTCATTTCTTTGCAATGTTGTGCCATCCGAATTTTCCATTAACCACTGAACAAATCCAGAGAAGCGAAGTACGCACTTCCTTCCAAGTCATCAAATATCTCTTCTATTTTCGGCAAAGGCCATCTGTCTGCTTTCATCTTCTGATTCAGAGAACGGTAATCAACATAGGAGCGTGGATTTCCATCTTTTTTGGATACGATGACGACGGGAAAGGACCAGGCGGCGCTGGAAGGCGTGACGATTCCTGCTTCCAGCATTTTGTCCAGCTCTTTCCGAACGATTTTGTTATGCAAGGGAGCCATTCTCCTCGCCGAGTGATAGATCGGATTAGTATCATCCAACTCGAAATGGTGCTTGATTGGGACTTCAGCAGGCCGAAGGTCGTCAAAGGATGTAGCAACGATACTCTTACCCATCAAGGCGGTCTCGATGACTGCTTGAGCTTCATTGTCAAGATGCACAAGTTTTTCCCAAAGCATTTTCACGGCCTTGTTGATGACATTCAAATCAGGTGATTCTACTTCCTCATCTTCTCCGATCGCTCCGTCCAGAGTTAAGTCTAGCTCGAAAGGTTCATCGCCGAGGATGGCGACAACATAAGTCTCTTCTTCCGACGAGTTTTCTGAGGCGAACGACTCGACATCAGAAGTGAAGTCCTCACTATCAGTCTCCGAATTCGCGACGATAGGACGTACTTGATCAAACTCCAGACTCATTTTCACGATTTTGTTTCCGATCAACATACTAACAGACTGGTGACCTAGATCGATGCAGGCTTGAAGTTCTTCGAGAGTTGGATACCCGATTAAGATATCAACTGGGGATCCTTCAACAACCAAGAAGTTGAGTGAAGTAACAGCGCCATTGAACGTGACAGGAACTTCCTCGATGGAACCTAAGCAGGTTGTCTTTTGTCCATTGGCGACCGTAATCTTCGTCGAGGTCGGCTTTGGAGACAGAGAGAGCTTCGATGCCACAGACGCATTCATAACGTTAGGGATAGCTCCAGAGTCTAACAACGCTCTCATTTGTGTCCCGTAGACTTGTACCGAAACTACTTTCAGACGTTTCGGCAAAGTACCGATCGAAGCAGCTACGGGGCGTCTAGGGCGACTGTTGAACAAACGACGGATCTCTTTCTTGGCTTCGTCGCCATCTCCTCGAATCAGTTGACCGAATGTCAAACCAGAGGGGGCGTTCGCGAGGGAACAAACGTCATCGTACTTCCCCGAGTGCTCTGGTACGGCGTTCTTCTTACTTGTCCTCTTCTTTCTTGTTCGACGGCCGGGCTTAGGAGGTTTCCTCATGTGGTTCGGAGTCCAGTACTTACGCGGGTTGAGAAGGGACGGGATTGGCTCGCCGCCACCATCCTTTCGCGTCTTGGCCACCGGCTCTCCATCGGCGGTTCTCTTGACTGATGCCACTAACTCCTCATCAGCAGGGAGCTCGTCGTGCGTCACGACACTCACCTGGTTTCCTGCGGAGCCCGTAGGTGTGCCCGACACGGCAATATCCGTCTGGGTCTTCTTAGGGGAGTAAGCGCCGCTACCTCCCCTCTGTGGACCAACTCTAGCCCAACAGCTTGTCTCCAAATGACCAAATGTTCCGCAGCGAGGGCACTTCGTGTCCCTATGCGGATTCGCATCGCATGTATTAGCGCCATGACCCGGTCGTTTGCAATAAGAACAAGTACGATCGTGGGCGGGGCGGAATGCTGTTGCGTCATCCCTCGACTGATTCTTCTTGATAATAAGGGAAATATCGGCTAGTCGATCAGCTAAAGCGTCAACCTTCGTCTCGAGTGGAGACAAGGGAGCTTTTGAACGCATCATGACCCTTTTTGACCCACCTTGCCCTCTCGGCTCATACATAACTTGCGAGCTCTCTGACCCCTGGTAGCGCGAATTGCTCAGGAGTTCGCCGCCACCTGAAAGGCGCAGTGACCAGACCAGAAGTACATGATTGCATCGAATAGGGCCTTGTAGGTCTTCGAACCTCGATAGATGGCAAACTGGGCCAACTCGAGATGTTCCATCACGGCGTTGCGAAGCAGTCCAAACTTCGCTTCGTCGTTGAATCCCGCCTTCTCGTAGAGACGGTCTGAGTTTCGAAGGGACCCACTGAGATTCCCGAAAGAAAGGCGAGCGGCCATTGCATCCCGAATCACATCTTCAGGTGAATCAACCGGGGCGCACCGCTCGACCAAGGCCTTCTTGACCTTCTGGTAGTCGGAGCCATCTGCAATGATATCTCCGTTCTTGACAAAGGCTTGATAAAAGAACTCGAATGCATCTCCCTCCAGGTAGCGAAGGAGTTCAGGTGCCCTTTCTTCGTCCGACTTGCCAGAGGTGGCAACATTCTCGAAGACGAAAAAGAACTTGTGAACGTCGGCCGGCTTCGACCCGTCAAAATGTGACAGGGAGCCGTCTTCTTTGCGACCCCTCCACAAGAGTACCATGTTGGCGGCGAAAAGGGGGGAGGAAGGCTGCGCGCGTACGGGAGAGAGAAAAGTTTTTTTCAGAAGCGTGAAGTTTATTGCAAGAGCGGGGATCAGTCTGGGGTGTCGTTGTGTTCTCCCCTTGTCGCGGGGTGTCGCGGCGCGCCCCTTTCTCTTATAGAGGGGCCGCCAACATCTTCCACTTCCCAGGACCGCCGCTCTTCAATGGGAGATTGTCCACGTGTACACCTGGCGTACACGTAGACCAATAAAATCACCTTTTGAAGGCTTTGGTCCTGGGGCCACTCCCGGGTACTGTACCCTGTACAGTACCCCAAGTCTCCCCCACAAATAGTGTAAGAAGTGAGAAATAGAGCGTAGCTGTGCTCTCGTTAAGCAGTTTAAAGCACGAACAGATAGTTGAAGTTGTTCAATTGTCGCGGCCGCATGCTTGGCAGTGCGGGGCGCAGCGCGACGGCGTGGCGGGGGATGGGACGCGGACGGTGGAGGGCGCGACGTGGCGGCAGATGACGTTGGTAGGAATGTGTCGGGGATGGCGGTGGAAACAAGGTAATGGGAGGGCTCGGCGCCGGAGCCCGCAACAAGCCGCACCACGCCGCCGCTCCCCACGGCCTCCCCCGTTACCAATCGCCATCTCCCTACCGGCACTCTCCCCATCCCCCATGCCATCACCGCCGTACACTTTCCCCCACGCCGCCTGCCGCCACACCTCCCTCCCTCACGCCTGTCGAGACGCTTCCGCCCACGCACTACCTCCGGAGGCGCCCAATGTCACCGCTTTGGCAATTCCCCCTAAATTATATGCCATTCCATGTACACGTGCCCCTTATACTGTAGCAGTGAAGCGTTACTGAGTGTCTCCCATAACCTCAAGTTTTCTGTCGATCAGGTGTTCATGGCGAGAGTTCATTCATCATCGTATCCAGAGACGACGTTTATACTAAAGATAGAGATGGTACCTACATCTCACAGTGGAGTTCAGCACCATGACACAGTTGCATGGAACAGTCAATACTAATACTGAAGAGTAATAGATTGCGCAGAGCAACAATACAAACCATAACAAAGATAGGTCAGCAGATATACAGCAAGTAGATTGTCTACAGACAGCATTTCAGTCGCTGTAGCTGCTGCGCATGAGCACGCTTGGCACAATCACTGTGCCATGCACAGAGGGTATCATCAACACAAGAGGTATTCCTTCACACCCACAAGTCTTCAACGCCATCCAATCCGGTTGAATGGTACATTTCGCAATCTTCTATACTGCTTCTTTATGCCTGCATCATATAGAGCGTGCAGCAAAAGATTGTCGAAGACAGCTTCGCCTACATCGCAAGTGTCGACCCAAGGCCATGGTCTGAAGATGAGACCAAGCTCAACAGCAGCAACAATAAGCCACCCGCCGAACGTAAAACAAATCAAGATCAGGTTTCCCACCACTACACAAATCATTTTGAGAGTCTTCATGAAGAAGAATTCAACCTTCATCTGTTTGTAAAGAAACACGATCCTGCCATCTTGGACTTCAGCAAGCTGATCCCCATCCGGATCTGGAACATGTTTGAGATAAAAGGGAATCACCCTTGAATTTTCCCAGATACCTGTAGCTTCTGCAACAGCTGTGACATGTCCACTCCGAGCCGTTGAAAAACGCGCTAAATCAACTACAAGAGTGCGCTTATCTCTCAAATCATCATTTTTCAATGTAATGATTGATGCGACATGTCCAGTTGTTGACACGTACAGATTGACGTCACTTTGTTGGTTCAAGAAATTCATTATCTGGTTCCGATCTCCAATTATACAGCTCTCAGGCATCATCCCGATCCATTCTACTATACCGTCCCAAGTGGAGCTCTTTTTCCATTCCATTGACCTTTGATAAGACATGTCCAAATAGCTCCTCCCGGTCAGAGATATGCTTCGAGAAACCATGGACTCCCAAAACGTAATGATTAGAAATTGTTGATACCCTATCGAGGATGGCTCCTCTTCTACCATTATGCTGGAATGGCAACTGCTGTACGCTCCTTCAGTGATTGTTCGAATCGCCCAAGATTTCCAACGAGTGGCAGATCTCTTTGTCCTCCGGTCTTCGTGAGCCGCGCTTACACTGACACCATCCGTTAGGACAGCTGTTGCCAGGGCAAGCGTGGTGGACCTGATGTAAACACCTCCACCTCCAATGCAGCAGAGCCCGTCGCCCAATCTTTGGTAGATTTTGGGACCAAAATATATCGTGTGATCGTACTTCCTCAACATGTAGTCATCGACGAAGAGGCCTTTACCCGCTACGCCGAGAACCGTCTCCAGTTTTCTCCAAAAATCAGTTCCATAGTAAGGTTCGTTTGATTCATACAAGCGCACCACGTGACAAACTGCATAAGGCAACAGTCCGAATTCCTCCCATTTTGTCAGTTTGAAAATGGCTTCCCGTTGCTCTTTTTCTATGCCCATCATCACCAATCGATCGACCCATAAGCGAACATGGCTTTTCCCATCTCGTCTGGCTATCGCTATGCAAGACCTAACGAGTTGACTCCAGCGGAAATCATCGAAAAAGTCGTCGGTCATCTGAATTTGGATCTCGTTGAGAATTCCCTCCTCTTTGTCCGGACTTCCGTCTTCTTTGAGTAGCAGCATTCGTCGAGTGATTTTGACATCCTTGCTTTTGTATGAAACGGCTATCAGACATGAGAAGTCTTCAGGTCGACCATCTGGTACCTCACCGACACGTTGATGACTCCTCAGCTCGTCACGCAGTCGTTCCCAATCATCGAAATCGTCAGCTCTGACAGGACGACTGAATCCTCTCACATAGCTGTCGCGAGCCGCCTCTGCCTCCTCTTTGCTCTTCCGATTGGCAACTTGCGCGAACAAATAGTCGGCCGAGGATCCAATACTGGCAATGTCACTAATTCTGGTCAGATCTGCTGCAAAGTTGGTGTGAATTTGGCCTACGTGCCCCGGTAAGGATTGATAAAAAGCAGCATTGCCGACCTGTTGCAAATGTGCTGCGAGAGGATCCGTTGCATCGAACTTCCGAATCGCATTCTCATATTGCTGTTGCAAATGGTACTTGTACCGGGAGGTAACGCGACCGTAGATCTTCGTATGCTGACCCTCTGCAAACTCGCCCAAAAAAGAAATGGAGTCTCGGACTGTGTTTGCCCATCGGAAATTCGATCCTTTCCGCGGCTGGAAGAGAAAGATGCTCAAATTCATAAGGCGGATTACCCAGTCGGTTATCGTCAAACTCTGTCCCCGTTTAGACGTGCGTAGGGGCACATTCGTGGGTGCCGTAGTGTTTGAGTTCATTTCAGATGCTCGAGATTGACAGGCGAGACCGAAAGCTGTTTGAATCAGTTTGGAAGGCAGTTTGGAGGAACAGGGATTGTTTAAATAACAGTGACGAAGCTGGAGAGCTTTTAAGCTGGGACCCGCTTTCCTATTTTAGAGCTTTCAGGTCGCCAACCTGAATTGCTAGGTCGCAAAATTTACGCCAGTGTGGAGAGCGACATTTGTGAAGGTTGGAACCTGAATCAAATTGTACTTCATACAGTACTGTATTCTCTCTTTATTTGCAACCGCTTGGTGGACAGATCTGGTTGCAACAAAAAGGGGGGTTGCAGTCAAAGAAATGTACCATACCCAATGTACCATACCCTGCGTTCCTGACCAATCGTTTGGAATGTCTCATATTTATTTCAAAAACTCATCAATGGTGCTCTGCTGTACAGCTTCGGATTCCTACAGCGTTACTGTTCTCTGCACGCAAAACGCAGCATTACTGTACAGTATCATCACAAGTGGACTCGACGATGCGCTTCGCAATTGCAAGCGCTCTAAGTTGCTTTTTCGTGCCGGGAGGAGGCACCATTTTGTCGGGAAAGGAGGTAATTTTCGTTTTTTCACACAGTTTTTTAACAGTTGACAGCAGGGTTTGCAGCATTTCTACTGTTCAACGGTTCACTACCAGAGATTTCGGACGGTTTATTGCTCTCACAGTGCAGGCAAAATATATGTAAGAAGCCATTAAACCGGTTGCATTAATAGAAAATCGAACAACATAGTAATTTAGTTTTTGCTCGGTAGCTAAGGGAGAGAGACATTTGTGAAGGTTGGAACCTGAATCAAATTGTAATTCATAATTTAGTTTTTGCTCAGGTAGCTAAGGATCTTTCTAGAAGGTCCGCCGGCGCCGCGCCGATTGCATAAATAGCGCAGTGGTGAGTGGAGTCGCGAGACTCGGGAGGCGAAAAACAAATATTGGATCCTCGGCCGACTGTTTGTTTGCGTAAGTTTCCAATAAGAGCAAAGAGGAGGCAGAGGCGGGTCAAGGTAAACACCTTTTCCCCCCGAACACACCCCAACAACATTGACGTCAAACATGATAGAGAGAAGCCAAATCTGCAGGTCTACTGTATGACACAATGTTGTGCAAACTTTAGGTAATACCCTGTACAGTAGACCTGCACATTTGGCTGCTCTCTGTCTTGTTTGACGTCAATATCTCCACACTGGCGTAAACTTACGACAATGTTTCTTACGTGCCCCTTTTATTTTGGAGTTTTCCTTACATACCCCTTTGTATGAGCCCCATTTCTTAGGAGCGCTAGATTGAATACAGTACAGCTGTACATGACAGTGAGGTGAGGAGGTGAAGAGGGCGTCACAAAAATGAGTTTGATGGGAGTACGTTCCCTGACAAGCAAAGCATCTTCATTGCATCTTTGGCCACGTGCGTCACCGTGGGCCGATCTCACCAGGTAAAATAGTCAGACTCTGGGCGCCTGCGTATACAGTGCCCCCCAGGAGTGATCATACATCGTGAACGCCCAACCAGACCGCGGGGCAAACAACGGCTTGTGGAAAATGGGGTCGCAGCGCCTCAACGAAAGTCGCGTTGCTCTGCATGTGGTCAAGTTGGGCACTACGCTACGACTTGCCAAGCCCCAGCACTGTGTACCTCTACCGGAAAGTCGTTCTGGAGTGAGGTGAAGAAAGGGGTACGTAAGACAAATTCTCTAAATTTAATGTAAACCGAGAGTTCACACGCATGTGAACTCTCTGTGAACAAAATCTTCATTCCTGTACAGGAGATGCAGCTGCATATAGGCTCAACACCCACAGGATGCCCGACGAAATTCTGGACAT